GTTTCGGAGGCGTGCCCGAGTTGAACCCGCGTCGCTGCGTGCGGCCCGGACGGAGCTTGTCTGCGGCGCGCGCGTGGCTGGCATGTGGACCCAGTATGTCAGTGGGAGCGGGGAGTGTGACGGTTTTAGTTGAGGGGCCCGCGTGTCATCCGGTCTGATGCCTGGACAGGTTGGCTTAACGGTTGATATCTTGTATAACGATATAATTGTGGCGGTTGGTGTCACTGACATGCTGGGTCCCCTTGGGACCAACGTACTTGCCATCACCACGAACAGAGACAGCTAGATTGCGATGTTAGATTCGCATCATTTGGAGCAAGGCTCTCTGAATTCTTTTTCTTTAAACCCCACCAATATACTTCCTCCGTTAGGAATTACTCGTCGCAGGTATGGATGTATCTAGATTCTAGATACATCCATTTCTGCGACAAGTAATTTGGAACGGAGGGAGTATTAATTAGTTAATTAGCAATATTCTTACAATCGAGCATTACAAGGTTTGTCACGCGGAGCGGAACACTATTACAATAAGCATCATCGGATTTGCTATCAAAACTAAATTTCGGAATCTCATATGCCACCCTATTGGCCTGCCTGTCAATTTTCACGATTTTGAGATCCTCGTTGAACTTAGAGACGCTCTGTGCCTCTTTTTTTAATCCACCAAAGAAGACCTATTAGTGGATTCCTTTGCCAGAAAAGAAGCAACAAAAGAACATTCAGTTTCCAAAATAATTGTATTGTGAAGTGTAATACCAATGTATAACCCGGCGAGTCACGCATCAAGTTTCGCTTCATCCACGCAGGTACACGAACGGATGAAATCCCATGAAGAAAACAAGACTTCGACTTCCCCTAGATGATTCCTGACGACAACCTCGACATTGGCAGATCTCATGCTCTCCACAAAGCTAGCATCCACGTTTATTTTAAGGACTGTGCTAATGACCAGTTGACTGGTCGTTAGCGACAGATCCGCACGACTAGTTCCTACGTGATCGCTATCTTCCCATGCTCGATTTCCATTGATTTTTTTTTCCTTCTCTCAAAAACCGTGGTAAATCGCTAGCGTTTTTTTCTGGTTTTTCACCGCATAATATGAAAATAAAATAAAAGTGCTTGAAAGAGGATTCGAACCTAGGTCTATGCAATACCTATTGTTGTTGTCTATTGTAGATAAACAATGTTATTTGAACCTTTCTTATTTCTACCATATCAGAAAAAAAATCAGTTTGGCTTGGTAACTTTGGCATGACCAACGTGATTACTATGGTATGAGCAACATGATAACTATACCATGATAAGGTTGATAACTACAGTACGAGAAAGTTAAGGCATGAGGAAGTATGGTAATTTAACACATAAATTACCGATGAAAATGTTTAAAAAACTTTTTCACTTGGATGAAAGATACCATGGTGTTTAAAATGTAAGATATTAGTTATCAAATCTGTGATGTATACATTATCATGCTTTTTACATAGAAATTACCGGGTGTATATTTTTCAACAAAAATAATTCAGGTCAAAAATTATAATGGCGTTTGTATGTGAGTTATCAGCTTAGTATGTGTCTATTAACAAGCTATTTACATATAAATTACCGGGGTTGCCCCCCCCCCCACACACACACACCTCTCGCCATAGTCGCCACATTTGCCAGGGTCGGGTACATAAATTATCAAGTCTGTGATGTGTGAGTTATCATGTTATTTGCATAAGAGTTATCGTGGTATGATTCAACAACTCCTCCCACCCTACCCCGCCGATAAAGTTATCAGGATTGGGTACATAATTTATCATTTCTACGATATGTGACTTATCATGTTATTTGCATAGAAGTTACCGTGGTATGTTTTAATGACTCCCCCCAACCCCAACCCCACCGACAAAGTTACCAGGACTGGGTACATAATTTAATGCTTATGATGTGTGAGTTATCATATTATTTGCATAAAAGTTATCGTGGTATGTTTCAGCGACTCCCCCACTCCGGCCCCTCCGACAAAGTTACCAGGATTGGTACATAATTTATCATGTTTACGATGTGTGGGTTATCATGTTATTTGCATAGAAGTTACCGTCGTATGTTTCAACGACACCCCCACTCCGACCCCTCCGACAAAGTTATCAGGTCTACAATGTATGAGTTATCATGTTATTTGCACAGAAGTTAACGTGGCATGTTTCAGTGACTTGCCCCACCCCATCCTCGCCGACCAACTTATCAGGACCGAGGTACATAAGTTATCAGGTCCGTCATGTTTGAGTTATCATGTTATTTGCACAGAAGTGACCATGGCATGTTTCAGCGACTTGCCCCACCCCCACCCTCGCCGACCAAGTTATCAGGACCGGGGTACATAAGTTATCAGGTCCGCCATGTTTGAG